TCTACTTATCAATGAAGCCTTTGCCTGTTCTTAATCGAACTTCAGCGAAACTGTTTTTTATTGATCGTCAAATATAAATGCTGGTGGGATGAGTAAATTTAAGGAACTCATTGAATGCGTAGTGCCAATTAAAGCTTTTTTTTTTCAATCGGCTTGCAGACCGTAGTCGATGAAGTGTCGAAGACGGAGGGTATTGTCACTTATGAGCAATATGTTGGCGATAATGGTTTCGTGATAAAGCAAGGTAAGACCTCGTTTTAATGGCTCATCATTTGTCCGTTCTTGATCTCACCCGTATTCACTTTTGTCTCATAGGTGATTGTGTCTTTGTTCCTTCAACTGGTAACTCCTCCGATCGGCAAATCCTCCGGATCGATAAAATATGGAGGAACGTTAAGTATGTGCGAATTTGTCTGTCATACTTTTTATAGTTTGCATACGGTTATGGGAAGATTTTGCATAAAATGTGGAAGTGATAAGTTGGTAATATTCTTTCGATCGCTCGTAATACAAGTACGCTTTCATAAGCTGTTATTTTTAGGGCCCCACCAGTTACTGTCATTTTTGAGGTCATCTTAGCTTCTGCAACATGGCATCGATGGTTCACATTTTGGGTTGATCAAATTATTTAAGATGATTTATTCTATTAATCACCCGAAATAAGCGTTGTGAGTGAACGCTTACTTGCTGAGGCAAGCCCTTTGCCCAGAATTTAACACCATGTTTCGTTGATTAGACCGTGTCACTTGTTTGTGTGTCTTAACTTCGCCAACAATGTTTACTTAGACAAAAGTGTTGTTTTTCTGCTTTTAATAACAGCGAGGAAGGCGTGTCAATGACTGGTTCGATATTCGTGTTCCCTGCCGAAGTAGAGCACTTACCTACTCGCGTCTTCTACCCTCGGGAGGTGTTTTTGACCAACAACGATCGAACCACCTTTTCCATCACATCGGTCAAGGGAAAATGTGTTGTAATGCGTCCAGCTGATTTCTGTATCGGTACGTCGCCTGAGAGCTGCGTATCGCATGAAATCGTTTTGTAACGACTATTCCGCTTTTCTTGTTGTTAAGCTCGACCCACATCGTATCGCGAAGGTGATGTTTTTGTTTGTGAATCCAAATATTTCGAAGATGAAAAGGCGATTCGAAAATTAAAGAAAGGACTAAAGGTTAGTGTTTTTGCTTTTAACTTGCTAGCTAAAGTTACTGAAGCTCAACTTTCATTTGTGGTCATTTCAGAAGCATAAGTTCTCTTCAGATACTGTGAGTGATGAATACTTCCTATTCAGTCAGCCAATTGTACCACACAAGGTATGCGCTTTCTTGGTGCTGTGTAATCTTCCTTTACCTCTATTGTGCCATTTAGAGTTACACCACGATACATGGATAAGAATGCTCTTGAGAGATTCAGGGCTTGTTTTAGTTACCTTTTGAATTTCTTAGCGTAGTATTTCCACAATCGGCTGAAATTTTGAAGTCGAGTCAGATTATTGTCTTACTTTTTCATTTGTCCGGCACTCGACGTGCAACAATGCAGATCCTTATCGCTTGGTTTTAGGAAGCGTCACCGCTACTTGTAAAGGCGTCGCCATCACCGCTGATTTTAGATCAACTGAACCAGCCGCCTTCTTTGGCTGTCGCATGTGTAGTGGCAGCAGCCAACGGGCATACGACTCCGGTGGCGGATTTTGGACCGCGTCTGGCCCCTGCTCCGCCACAATCACCCGATGTTGGGCAGCTCGCTTTCATGGAGGTTGGGCTGGATCGTAGTGGTAAAAAGGTGAACCATAGTTGCGTTAATCTTGAACCGTCTAAAAACTTCCCTTTCCACCTGTGTTCATTGTCTCTTGTCCCTTCTAACTCAGCTATCAACTCATTTAACAATTATTCAGTGTCACAACCCTGAGCTCTCCTGCATAAGTTAAATCACTCAAATGAATCATCATAG